TCAGGAAAAAACCCTAAAACTGAAATAAATTGGTCCCTAAATGACAGCCAGACTTGTCTAATGGGTGGTGTGTCCAGATGTTATACATGGAATAAAGTTTGCTTCGCTACAGCTCCTTTTAAGCCAGAGGCAAAGTGGCACAAAGAGAATCTTACAGCAGATACACGGTGCCGTCCTGCTATTTTCTACTATTTATAGCCATTGCCTTTCCAGCAGCAGATTTATTAGCCAAAGCAGCTTGATCTGACACCAAGACCTGGGTAAAGCTTGTTCCCAAGCGGCGCAGTAGCTGCCCTCGCTGTCGCTCCAAGGACCAAGGGGATTTACGGCTGCTGGGGTCTCACCTACGAGGTCTAAGAAGATGTGAAATGTCAAAGCGATTAAACCCTAATTACTAGGAATGTTCCCAGCTAATCTTTGCCCAGACCCCTAAGTAGGGCCATGGATTAAGGCAGCTTGGGGCCGGGGGGGATTGCCAGTGCTCAGCGCGGTGCCATGGGCAGGAGCATCTCCCTCATCAGGGTTGGACCCAGCCTGGGGTGAAGGAGACACAATTTTGGGGCTTGCGGTGTGCAGGAGGTGGGGTGATCCAGTGGGTTGAGGGTGATGGAGGTGGGCGTGGGTCAGTGCCAGGCATGGGGTGACAGCACCGCTCTCTTACCCTCCTCTCCTGGAGGACAGGATCTTTCCAGTGCTTGCAAAACCCCTAAGTGAAACAAGATGAGGAAGCGCCGTCCTCGTGAGAAGGAAACAGCCCTTCCCCACGCAGATCAACACCCCCTGTCCCCCAGCCTTTAAGGAAACATTTGATAGAGCCGCAGAGGGTTGAATCACCGGCTGCCCAAAAGCCCCAGGGAGGAGGGGGTACCTTGCAGGGGCTCAGTCTAATTTAGCCCAGGGTAATTAGGACTGTGAAAAACATCAAATCCCGCTCCTGGGTCCTGCCCAGCGATGCCAGCAACAAGCACAGCACCAGCACTGCCTTTCCTTTTGGCTGGGAACCAAGGCAGGTGACTTTTACTGCAGGAGAAACCGAAACTGCTCTCGCCTGTTTGCAAACCACCAGGACATTCCTGTCCCCTGCCCGCAGCCCGGGGGACTGTGCTGGGGCTGTGACCGGGGCAGGGCGAGCTGGTGTCGGGGACGTGGTGGGGACCTGGTGGGAGGATCACGCGATGCCCCTATTTGTTTTGCATCTGAGGCGTGAGCTGGGGTTTGCATGGAGCAGAAAAGGGGTCTGTCTCCTCGCTGACTTCCCGGAGGATATCAGCTTGCCTTGGCACATGGGACGTGCCCGCCAGGCAAAACACTGGTGAGAAAAACAACTCACCTCTCCCATTTCCTTCTCCCCTGCTTTTCCCAATATCAGGGCTGAACCAAATCTCCTCCTCCTGCAGGC